ATAGGAACATATTGAGGTTATCATGCCCCATTTCCATATTGAATACCTCTGATAGGTTTCCATCCGATGCAGTAACAATGATGTACGGAAAGTTGAAACTACACTGGGCTATTAATGAGGCTTCAACGAATCACATATCTTCTTTGGAAAAAATCAATAGACGTTCGCCATTTCAAACGTTTTTTGGAGTATTCAGGACTAACTGAAAAGTTGATCTAACGCCTAATTTTTGGCGACTGAATGTGACAGTCCGCAATAGCATCTACGTTTATTGTTACCCTTATTTAGAGTCTGTACTACCTCAAATGGCTTTGGTTGATTCCGCATAACAGTGAAAATGTTGAATCAATCACGTTGGAAAAAAAATATAGTAAAATTGAGCGTATAAGTATACGGTGTGAAAACACGATTCCTAAAAATATTCACAATAGAAAAGAAACGCGAAGTTACCTCGAAATTTTACAAGAAAGCGTTGTATTCAATAGGTACTTTACATATGTCAATGATTTTTTTATATCAAATGAACTAAATAGAACATGTATACTATGATATACATTTTTCAAATGGTTTTAATTTCGTTTGTAAAAAAGTAAATTCTGAAATAAAACCAGTGCCCGTGCCGTTCGAAAAAAATCTAATTTGAGCTGAGGTAGTATCGACTCCTAAACCTCGATGCTAAAAGAAGGATATTATAAAACTGGCGTCATAGTCTGAGTATCCGTGTATTAATTTATATTTTAATTTTCTTGCCACACACAAAACACTTGTTAAGTACAGTATTACCCTTGCATGTAACTTCAAACTCGACTGTAGGTAAAATTACCAACACAGAATACCAGTGATCATTACAAGTTCATGGTTCGGAAACGGTACACAAAATATTTTACGTAAAAAAAATTTAAAAGGCCCATTCCGTTGTTACACTTTTTATTCATTTTTCAGGAAGCCCATGTGATGTAGCATACTCGTTATATCTTGAAAATTGGGGATAACACGTCTTCAGCTTGTAATTGATATATATATAATAAGATGTATCAGTATTCGTAATCTAATATTAAATAATAATAAAATTATCAACTAAATAACAGAGTGCCTCAAGGTTACGTTTTAGGGCCTATTCTTTTTATTCAATTTTAATAGTTCTGTTAACAATTCAATCCGATACTACTATTATACTACAAAGGTTTAGATAATTAACTAAATGTAAACAAGCCGTAATGAAGTATTTTATGAGGCTGGTTACTTATTGTGAAATTACAACGAACTTTTTGAAAATGGTTCTAAATATATGATATATTTTCCGGTAATATACCTACAACATTTCGAACTATAAATATATTTAATTAAAGGTGTTTAATAACACGTATCACAACTTTCCTACGATTGTTTTTTACTACCTTAAATCCAGCTTTTAAAAAGATAACAGCATGCGAATGCTTTGAGTACAAATCAAAGAGTACAGTAGTAGTACGACGCATGAAACTCACTTCTAAATATAATATTTGACCGGTTAACCAAGTGACATCTGAAATTTGTTTACTTTTAATTAATTATACCTAAAACCTAGATTTTTATACCATAGATGCTTAGAATTATAAATTTATTGTCTACTTGGCGTTACATTAACAAAAATAGCTAGGTCTTAATCTGTACACCTAGTATCGTAATGTCTCAGGAGTCTATTGGGAACAGTTTCTTTAAACATAAATATTTTATGAATAATATAAAAAATATATAAAATATAAAGTATAGTTTTCCCTACTACCACAAGATTCCCACTTCTAATATTCTTATTTCTTCACAGGTGATGGTAGAAACGGTGGGCTCGACAGCATGGTGCGCAGAGATATTGCAGGCGCGTGCAGCTGGTGCGACCGCACGGACGCAGATCGCTGCGGTCGCAGCGCTTGCTGCAGCTATTGACCGTTGCCGGGATCTCGTGGCCGTCACTGACGACCAACAGAGGATACTAGTAAGTATTTAACTTCATATAGAAAAGGCGCGACACAAACGAAATGCCTTTTTGTGAGCCAAGCAATCAAATCCTTTACTCGAGACGATCATGAACAGGTATATCTTGTATGGAATTTGATAGCACCGAGCATAATATCGTCGTCCTAGCAACATATTCCTCGTATATTTTCTCAGCATTCTACACTGCTTTCCTATCAATAGCATGATAATAATTTTATTACCAACATTCACACCTAGTAAAGTAAATGAGTGACTACTGAAAACAACTCTAAATCAATTGAATATTTTTTGACGGGACGAACTAGTCGTGCGACTGGTAGTAAGCGACACGCACGTCTGTAGCAGTTGCAGTGCCACTAAGAACATTAAATCGCAAAAATCTGAGGGTCACTGCGACGACTGCGCCAGTCGCCTTGAGACATAAGTTGACAAGTCCCAGGCAATTGCTTGCTACCTGACTGTAACTTTACCATCACCCTTACCCTTCAAAACCGGATCGCAGTAATGCTCACATGATTACTGCCGCCTGGCAGAAATAGGTAAGAAATAGGCAGTACTTCTCTGGACGAACTCTATTACAAGGAGCTCTCAGTGGAGCAGAAGGACCAGTCTCCTAAATAATGTTTTCCTGGAATATTTACAACACTTAAATTCATATTAGTAGCATTGGGCTATCCATTTTTTTGTCTTTTTCCGTATTACCACTGACATTGTATTTAATGACAATGGATTGTTAAGATATGATCTACCATTGCGGTTACTTATGTATGTAATGAAAAGCAACGACCTTGCGTAGTAACTAAAATGAAAGATAGCATATCACAAAGTATCTACCAAAATTGCTGCTTTAGAAAGGCGTCTAGATAAAAAGATACTCTCTATCTTTTATTACGTAGATACTATCGAAAACGCAAAATAATTTTTAAACGCGTATCAAATGAAATAAATGCCTAAACATAATCCTGATATTTCAGTATAGTACCGACATTAAAAATAATTTGGAAACATATTTTCAAAGGAAATGTCTTTTTTATTCTATGGCTAAATCACACATCACATATTTAAGTTTCACAGCTTCATGCATAATAGAAGCAATTGGTGGCAAAACGTGGACAATTAATAATAATAATTAATAATAAATAATATTCATGATATTAGTCGGTGACTTAAATAAGGACATATCTTCAGATAATATCGACATAAACAAAGATCAACCTTAACCTGACTTCTAGTCGCGGCTTGTTACCAAAATATAACACCCCTACAACTTTATACGCTAACAAATCAAACATAACGAATTCCTTTGAAAAGTTATGCTACATTTTTTATTGGAATGAAAATAAAACTACGAAATGCATATCGTTAATATTTACGGTTAATTTTATTATTTGTTAGCTACATTTTAGAAAGTACGTATTCTTACCTGATGAAGGTTGCGGGACGTTCTTTGGGAGAGGCTTATGTTCAGCAGCGGAGGCTGAAAAAGCTCTTTCGGCTGAAATTATGATGATGATAATGTTGATGAATTCGTACTTTTTCATAAAATAAGTTAATTCCCCATCCGCCATTATTATAATCTTGAAAAAAATTATTAATTTCTCGTTCCGTCTATACATTTCAGGAAATCTGTTGCTGCTTACCCATCTCAGAACCTTGAACTGTAAATCCAGCTATTATTTTTCTCTTTCAGCTCTCAAACAAATCCTGGTGCCGTGTTCTGGGCTGGCGAAACGAAGAAGGTCCAAGGGCGTTGACTGAGGCTGCAGGTGGCGAGGCTTTGAGACTCGCAGCCAGCGGGGCAAGGGACTGGGAAGCGCCAGTCACTCTTCGACGTAGGGCCACCCAAGATCCCATATTTTTGCCGTGTCGAGGAGCCGCTGTTGCCTTGACCAAGTAAAGATATTTACTGATAATGATAACTTTCACAACACCTTCCATATTGCTTCAGATCATTGAAGTTGTTAATATTACAAAAGGCCACCTACGAGGCGACTTTAAAGATAATAATAGGGGTTAAAGTATGAAATTGCCGATTTGTACTGAAAATCTAAATTGTTTATTTTTTTAAATTTTTAACAAATTTATTTAATCAAAATAGTTGCCATTATTATCTATACATTGCTGCCATCTAATGGGAAGGTTATTAATGCCTTTGCGATAGAACTCCGACGATCTAGACTGCACAAACTGTGTGAAAGCATTTTGTACTGCCTCCTGGGAAGAAAACTTCTTGTCACGTAGATAATTGTCCAAATCACGAAAAAAATGGTAGTCCGTTGGAGCAAGGTCTGGTGAATACGGAGGATGACGAATGGTTTCTAACTGCAGTTCCTGAAGGGTCAAAATGGTTTCTCGTGCTGTGTGAGGTCTCGCGTTGTCGTGGAGCAATAATGGTGAAGATCGATTCATGAGTCGGGGCTGTTTTACTGCTAGTTTTGTCAACATGGTTCGGAGTTCGGCACAATAGACATCTGCCGTTATTGCTTGACCAGATCGGAGAAAACTATAGTGAATAACACCATGCTGAGACCACCAAACAGTTACCATTACCTTTTTATTGGTAAGTTTTGCTTTAGGACACTGTTGTGGCATTTGACCTGGGGTCAGCCATTGCATTTTTCCTTTCCGGTTATCATAAAGAATCCACTTTTCTTCACATGTTACAATTCGATCCAATATTCCTTCATTTCTGTACCGGTTCAACAAGGCAACACAAGTTTCAACACGCGTTTCTTTCTGCAGATCAGTCAAATCATGAGGCACCCATTTTTCGTATTTTTTTATTTTATTGATTTGACGCAAGTGAGTCAATATTGTGGGTAAGGTAACGTTAAACCATGCCGCTAATTCCTGGGTAGTTTGACTAGGATCGGCTTCCACTATCTCTCTTAATTCATCGTTATTCACCTGTGTGGGCGGTCTTCCTCGTGGCTCGTTCTTTAAGTCGAAATTTCCATCACGAAAGCGTTTAAACCAAAATCGCACGGTGCGTTCATTAGTAGACCCCTCTCCAAACGCAGCATTGATATTGCGGGCTGTTTCTGCCGCGTTAGTTCCGCGTCGGAACTCGTATTCAAAAATCACTCGAATTTTCGCAGTATCCATCTTTCTTGTCTAAATTGAATAACAAAAACAATTGAAAGTCGATATTCAAATGTTTCAAATTTAAAAAAAAAATCACAGAAACCATTTGAAAAAAGTTTCATTCGAAAACCTCAAACCATGAAGATTCTATGAAAATTCAAAGAACCTATTGCAATAAAACGGCAATTTCATACTTTAACCCCTAATATATAAAAATTTCGGGGTGTATTTTCTTGACTAATACCTTTGCAATTTTTCTTTATACAGGAGTACATCTCACATTGTCTTCGTGTGCGAGCCAGGAAACTTAGTGGACACAGAGCGCGGCCGAGGCTCGCTTCACTCCATCAGGCGAGGATCACTGGACGTGCGTTCAATTGCTTCAGATGGACTTCGTAGGACATCACTAGCGAAGTTACAGGGACTGCCGCTCGAAGCACCTATTACAAAGGTGAGTCCAGTGACTAAAATCTCTTCTAGAATCAATAAGAGGCCCAGTAATAATATTACCTTTTGAATAATGGAACACAAATCACTTAAAAGCTAACTTTGTGTTTACTCACTAGTAGAGTTAACAATGTTATTCAAGATTCTAACTGCAAGTACAATTTCGTTATAGTAAAAAAACGCTACAGAGACATTTCTTTCATTTTATCTTCAATTGATGCTTGTTTGCGATTTGTGTGTGTGATTGGGTCGGATGAAAAACAGGCTTGAAATCATTGCAAACTGATTTCAACATTTTGTTGAGCTCTTGTCCGTCACACACATGCTTTATTCTTTCTATTTTGATTTAATTTTGTAAATTGTATAAAAAAATTGTTTTTTCTCATTTCTGTAAATTATTATTTTTTTATATATGTATGAAAATAAATAAGTTCGTACTCAACAATACCCTTACTGAAGCTGTTATATATCGTATCTCATCTCTTTAGGTCATTTCACTCCTCTCAGCGGCTGCAGAGGGCGCTCCTCCGTCAACAGTAGCTTGCATAGAACGAGCAGTCGACATGCTACGGACTTCAGAGTTATACTCCCCACAAATGAGAGACGAAACCAAGCTCAGGGTCGAAGACCCCATTGCTACTGATCTTATTGGTGCCCTGCTGCAGGTAAGTAAATAAATACTGGTTGTTTAATTAATTATTAAAGTGAAAAAATGTTTTTAAAGAATATTCCATTCTTGCGTAGAAATTGACCATATGTAAGGGCGCATTGGCGCATCGACATTCTCGACGGTGGGCGGTAACATGTTGGCTCAGAGGTTACTTAGGTGCTACGTAAATGTAAAAGTAATTGTTTTTAGAACTTAAGTGGGTAGTAAATATAAATTGAAGTGTGCACAAGGAAAATTTATTTATTTTTAAACACTTTATTTTTATGTTTTCTGTTGTTATGTCTTAGTTATATTAATGATTGAATGGTCATGAGACAAAAGAGTGGTTACCAACTAATAAAACAATAACGGTTTTTGAAATAAATGTTAATGGAATTTTTAAAACTAAACTCTTCTTTAACAGGATTTTGGCAAACTCTTCTATAACAGGATTTTGGCTGCAATGTATATTAATTTTGTATTTTAGCCCTTTAATTGGTAATGATAATGGTAAAAGTTAACTAACATTGTAATTTATTTTTTTATGTTCCTGTACGAGCAGCGGGATCAAGGGAACACGAACATTATGTTTATGGTAGGAGGTTTGGATTTAGCCTGTATCTCTTCAAATTGTTCTGTCTTAGCTGAATTAGTGCTACGCCTGTTTTGTGAACAGTACATTGTCTTGGGTCTGGAATAATTTGAAGAAAATGAAAACAACTATAACATTAAAATATAACACCAATAATTGACACAAACAAAAACTGCGTATGTCACAAATTACATTATTACATATAAACATATTACACAAATTTAAACGAACGCATTTAAAAGAAACGTGCCCAGACGTAACGGGCCCTGCCTAAAGATACACAATCGGTCAAGAATCGTTATCGGAAACGTTACTAACATTACATTCTGATTTTCAGTTCTAAAATGACTATACGGCTTAACCGGTGGCTGAGTGGAGTATACCATATGGCAGGTCTTCTAGAAATCTTTACATTGTCTATACAACACGGTGGATTATGATTAAATTTTCAATTAAACGGTGTTGACCTTCGATTCCGAGGCAATCCTACGAACATGATCACATTTATTTAAACTCTATTGCACGCAAAACAGTACAAATGGCGGGACTAAATGCCATTAGACAATCTCCACCCGTCAACCGGTGAACTGGATTCAGTATAAGTAACAAGAGGTGCATAACTTGACAATTAAAAACAGATAGGGTCAAAATTTTTTTATTAAACAATTAATAATGATACTTAATGCCCCGCATTAAGGCTGCGTTTCCACCAGAGATGGACGAAATAGCTAGGCAGTGCGCAGATGAGTCGCGGTAGCAGAGTACTCGCACATCCCTGGTGGAACCGCAGCTTAAGGAAACCCTGTATTACCGGTGCCATGGACACACACATAGAGAACATATTACAATCATGAGAGAAATAAATATAGGTCATACGCCAGACTTTTACTGCGTACTGTAATATCCCGGTAATTGTAATGGTTTAAAAAGTTTAGTTGTTAGTAACAATAGGTTGATTAATTAGCTCGCATCGGGTGACGATAAATATTTTACTAACCAACCATTGTCATTACCGGGGATATGTCACAATAAAAGGCTCTACATTAAATCTGATTTTTTAATTTTTGTTTGGAAATGACAGTTACTAGAATTGTTATAAATTAAATGAAACATTTATCAGCAAAAAACTTTTCAAACACTTCAGAAAGGTTCTAAATTAATATAGTACGGATTTAGATAAATGATGCAAAAAAATACTCTACCATAATAACAATAAGACAAGTAGAGCAACTCCTGCCTGTTCAGCACGTAAATGCCTATACGGCCCTTGGAGCGTAGGGTTGTCACAATATTATTTTAGTTGTACCTGCAGGTACAACTAAAATAATATACATCATTTGAAAAAATAAGGTATTCATCATTTCTGCTATATTTAAATATTTGTTAAATGCAGTACTCACGTATGCATATTTTTATACCGGGATTGGTATCTCTATTATAGTAGGATTATGTAATAGGTAGAAAAGAAATACTGACCCATTTTGAACTTGTGGCACTCTTAGTCAAACATTCACAAACACAGGAATAAACACCTCTACTATTTGATTTTATTGTTTAAACACCAAGCGACAGTTTCAATTCTATAATAAATGGCGCGTGTGACAACCCGCGCTTCCGCTGGTTCATTCCGTGGCTTAGTTGGCATAGTGTCTGATACGGTTTACTAGAAGAGTCGGTTCGAGTCCGACCGGATCGAAGGAATTTTTTCTAAGAGTTCGATCTTTTTATTAATAATCATAATAATATCTACTTCAGTACGGCTGCGTCATACATTTTTTAGGTCATGTGGACCATATTTCCAATTCTTTATCAATATTAGCGGTAAAATTGGGAATTATTTAAAAAGAATTGTTATTAAGCTTACGTAGCTTAATTCCAAGCCTCCAATAATGGTACGAGTAATTTTGGCACTTCGCACGTGCTGACCAAGATGGGCTTACTATTTATTTGACGTCGTGTCGAACATTCATTAATTTTGTAATTCAGTGAACCAGACAAATATGTGTATTCGACTTACACTTCCACAAACGCTGCTACAGACTTATGCGGACAAATATAACTGTATTTTAGTTTATGTTAGTGGTACAGACTAAGAAAACTGGCAATGTCTTGAGTAGAGCTGATATGCGACTCTCACTATTTCGCTGCTTAGTCAGACTATTTTTAGTATAATAAATGACGGAACGAACAAGTTATGGACCTGGTGGTAAAAGGCCACGCCTACCCACATCTATCGCAATGCCACTCAGAGCTTAAGGCTAGATTCAGGTGAACATCTGACGCGCGTCGTAACGTTCAGGTGATGAGAGTACGCGGAAGTCCTTGACGTGTCCAGTCATAGCTCTAACACTATCGCGACGAAAATGTGGGTCATCTGAGCAGGTTCACTGCCAGTGCCTATAATTATAAACGCGCATTTACATATACCAATGTATAAATATCTAGACAATTGATTGAAAATGCGTAATTTTTTGTCATCTGAACTTAGCCTTATAAGTATATATGAGAGACACTGCCACTACGCCCCGTCACATTAACACATAAAGTTGACAAGTCCTATGTATCTGCAGCGTCACCAGGACTCTTAGGTACAATTAAAACCGGAACGCAATAGTGTGCACAACTTACATGGTAGCTGGTACTTCCCTTGACGAATGCTTTCACACGCTCTACTGCTACTAAATTTTGTATTAGCCTAGAGTAGACTTTTGCCAACTTTTATTACGAGAATTGGTCAACATTCCAGTAAATTAATAAGGATCACCAGTCACAACCAAACTAAGATTGTTTTGAGACCAATTGGGTATGGATTAAGGCCTACTCAACCGTAGAAAATCTAACGATACGCACGGCCCGGGGAAAGAGACCGTCAATGAGAAGCAAAGGTAGCATCGGCACCTTACCTTCCGTGCTACTTGAATCAGAGCTAATTAAGGACTCTGCTGTGATGTAGGGGGACGAGACAAACGGAAAAGGAAACCAATGCTACTCTCATTAAAAAGCTTAGAATAAGGTACCATAGCTTATTATGCCATACTTAGTGCGACGTATCGCATTAATGTCGGCCTATTTTGTGAGTTACGAGCACTTATTGGGTTCAACGTAGTAGTTGGTTCATTTTCAGTTTGATTTCTCCATCTCATTGCGGTGGCAATTTTTATTATTTAAATATTTATTCTAGAATATTATCATGAAATACTATTTAATATTCGAGTGTAGACTCGTCCAGTATTATTTAATATTCCACGATAATAATACTCGAATACTTAAATAATAAAACTTGCCACCGAAATTAGAAAACGTACCTGAAAATTACGCAGTTATTCAATTTCTACACTGTCACAAACTTCGAATTTAAAGAAGTAACTTTCATTTCCGATCGACCTAAATCAGTCTGCAATGTAGAGCTCACAGGCTGTCTATCCAGCTACTTCTAGAAGCATCAGTGTTCATTTCGAATTAACCTAGTTTGTAGAGGGGACATGAGAACTCTATGCTTCTTCGAAAGAAAAATTCTTCTGTAACTACTTTCTTCTAGGCAATTAACTGTTAGGCTGCGGCGCTAAATATAATTAAAAGGATGTGCTATTTGTCCGTAACTGCTTTTAAAACACATTACTTTACTAGGCCGGGTTCACACTTATATCATTTTGGCGGATTGGTGCCGTCATCGATTGTTTTGATACGTGACAATAGTTGAATACGCCAATATGATACAAATGAGAACATAGCATTAGATATTTCACAATGGTCCTAATTAATCCCCATATTGTGTACATATTGGTTAACATAACATAATAAAATCTTATCAATGCAAAAATGCTTGCGTAATTTTATTTGTCATGATTTTGTTATTAACATTCTATTCTATGACTGGTTTCCCTCACTTAATTCTTATTTAAGAACTTTCCTATTCAATTTCTTTAACAAGCCTTAATAGATTAATGCACTTACCATCTCTATAATAGCACGATACACGCAATTAAAAATACTAACATACACTTTGTTCATCATAGATTATGAAATAAAATCTAATGCTAAACAAATTAAAATCTGCCTAAATAACTTGAAATGTTTGTGATTTTGTAATAATTCCGATTCTTTTGTTTTCAGCAAGGACCAACAAATTTGCTATCATCGCGGCGAAGCAGCAACGATTCTACTGTAGTTCGAGCGCAGAATAATAGAACAAATATAAAACATAAGGTTATTATTCTCCGATAAAGTTGTTAGTGGCTATAACGGGTAATATTAATAAAATTTCGGTATTTTCCATCGAAAGGAACCTAGTATAGTAATTCAGTAAGATTTTGTGTCTTATACTGTATGCAAACGGTACGACGGTACTATATTACCGTTGATTAACTAAGCGCGTATTGTCCTTTTTGTACACAATGTAAGTAACACACACAGTACCTTGAACAGTCTTCCTTTAAACCTGAATCTAAAAAAAAACGTTTCTCAAAAACGTTTCTCAAAAATTTTTCTTAGAAATTCAATCAAATTTACTACTTCCTTTTGATACATCTTGGAACAGAAATATATTTTAATCGCTGAGATCCCCCTGGCTATGACAATAACACACACACACTCAACATAGCCCCGCACTAGGGAAACCCTATGTGCCATGGACACATACATAGAGAACTACAAATTACACCCAAACTCACGAGAGAAATAAATGTAGGCGATAGAAATATTTCTCCCTGCCCGGGAATCGAACCTCTGCGTGGCAGTTGCAGGGTAGAGGCACTACCCAGAACACCCAGACCTGAATCAATACGAAAGTTCATTTCCCAAATTTGTACTACAGGGAATCGAACCCGGGATCTCCTCATCCAGCGCCCACAGTGCAAACCGTTGGGCCACCGAGGCCGTCGAAACATTGGTTTAACCAGTAACTTTTTTCCAGACAACAAGTCAACTTTGCGAGCTCCTAGATACGGCTCTCAACTGGGACTTCGAAATTTTCCGGCTGGAGGTAATCACCAATGGCAAACCACTGTTTCACCTTGGGTGGACCATCATGGGGAGACGCTTTGATGTCTGCCCAACGTTGGAATGCGAAGAACGTGTCTTGCTAAACTGGTTGACCACAATTGAGACGAACTATCGCGCTGACAATCGTTATCATAATTCCACTCATGCAGCTGATGTGCTACAGGTTAGTTTTTTTATACTATCAAGTGATGGGGCGAACAAGTCATGCGCCTGATAAGCAACACACTTGCCCATAGCAATTGCAAAATCACATCGAGTATATAACCAGAAATAGAGACGACATAAGATCCATCCATCCCTGGCAACACATCAGGCAAATGGGCCTTATATTACTTTTAATTGACTCTCGTTTGCGCTGAAAACACAAATAAGAAAGCTGAAATAGTACAGGGCCAACAACTGACCTGTGTGTAAGTCTCCGTATATTCTGTATTTATTGTAATAAAGATAATATCTCAAATAATGGGAACTGTTCCATTCAGTGGTGTGGGAAAAACAGCAAAACATCTAATTACAGAACAAACGGAATCGCATTTCATCGGTAATAAAATATGTAATTTTGCAATTTTCGTCATAGCAAAACTGAAGTCAAACTGGTCGATTTGAAGTGAAACAATTGACGACACCCGTCAACCGTTTCGAATTCGGGCTGACCAATCGGAGCGCAGTTCTCACAGTGATGATTTGGAAGAATAGTTTTCAAACAAATTAAATGACATTTCGTCTCTATTTCTGGTATTCGATACAGAACTCAGAGGATGGGAAAAATTTAAGATACAGAATCATGATCTAAGTGGCACTGACACTGCACCTGTCACCTTGAAACATAACTTTCACCAATCCCACATGCCTGTAGTTTCACGACCACCCTTTCCCTCCTAAACCAGAACACAATAATGCTCACATCATTGCTTGACGATAGAAATAGATATGGTTACTTAGAAGAACTTTTTCACAAATTCTCTACTGCTAAATAGTTCAGAAGTTAACTGTATAATTTCCCAAGTATATTTCTAAATTGGTACTATGCAAACGAAGATTATTAACAGATTTTTGAACACTAAGAAGACTAATATAGGTAAATATCATTTTCTCAAACAAGCTCGGAAATGTTTGCATTACTTTCAAAAAACGAACACGGAAAGTTTGTCATATAAGGACCGTGCGACTTCTTCCCGGCCAAGGCCTACAATGTAAAGATGAAAATCCATTAGTGTCCACTTGTCTTAACTTTCAAATCTACCTACTAATAATGAGCTATGTAAACAGGCAAAAGAAAAACTCAGACGGCCAAATGCTCAATGTTTATAGTTGTGAGAATTGAAAATACCTACCTGCAAGTCGATTCAGAACCTTACGATAACTCTGTTGTAGACCGATTCGATTAGATATCGAACGATTTCTTTTCTATTTTATTCACCATAACCGAATCGAACGTCAAACCGTCGTATTTGGAACCAAATCGAAATAACGTCACATTCGTACGATTACTCGTACTTCTCGACCGACAAATGTTACAAACGTTATTTGTTACCGAACGTCCTATTGTTTACAATGCAAGAATGTAACATGGAAATCTTTTATTATTTTAAATAAAATCAGGATTTTGTTCAACTTTATTAATTTATTTTAATGCGAGACTAATGCATTCCTACGTTTTAGGCGTTTAAAGCCTTAAAAAGGTATATAAAAGGATTTCATTTTTGTTATAATCTATATTCGCCGACTAACTCCGTAAACGTTGTTGGATAACGATATCGTATCCAAATCCGAATCGAATGTTCTAAATAGCTCAAAAAGCTACCTTCTATTCGAAAACCATATCCAATCGAACGAATCGGTTAAGATATCGAAGAGTTCTGAGGTCCCACTTACTTAAAAAAAAAAGAAATGTTACCACATTTAAACTAAAGTGTTGATATTCTTTTGTTTTTTCGTCTTTTTGTATTTTAGTCGCGAAATGAGTAGAGTGATAAAGAAGAAAATACAGTAATAGATACACATTGAAATATATCATCAGAAATTGAGCAGATTACTAATAATGTGCCTGGAAAAACAATAACGTTTTCTTTTAGCAATAAATTTGTCCTAACACTTAAATTGTCAAATATTAATTAATATTTTCTTACTTTTTCTATTATACGCCTTCCTCTCTTTAGTCTTTTATTATTCCCTCACATTATTTGAGAAAAATACTGTACGTGTCTCGGCGGGAACGGGGATAGCTTGACTCATATTAACACAACACTGCTCGCTCACACACGTCCTTGTAACTCATACTCGTCCAGCAATCCCTTACTTCCCGGCCTCTACTATTACATGAGTTATTACAAATCATACCTACAATTATTTACTCTGCCGTTGGACAGGAATGGCATGCTCACTAGATTCTTAACAGGGCATTGTGGCTTGAACAGGCACATGTCAAATATTGGGCAGAGAGAGAATAGAGAGTGTAGATTCTGCCACGAGGCGGATGAAACTCCTGTTCATCTACTCACCTAATGCTGATGGGCGTATGAAGTTCCATACTGGGTAGGCACATGCCACAACTAGAGGGCATAAAATCTGGTGGAGTCAGGAAAGTGCTTCAGTTCTTCAATGCTGTTGGCATTGGCTCTGCACTGTAACCAGTGGTGATCACAACAGATCATTCAATGGTCGCAGTGATGAGGGGATGCATAGGCCCTGAATGAAGCCACTCTAATAATAATACAATTGTTTACAAAGAGTAAGTTATACGCTTTGGTATCGTTTCTTTTTCCACCTACTATGTCATGTTATATCATATCCGGAAACATCCCCTCCTGACGCCATAGCCACCGTAGTTCACAATCAGTTACGAATGAAGGTTTTTTACTCATTTATGACAACTAGTTGCCTATAAAGAGTGTCTTTCTTCGTCCGCAACCTGATTGCGAAAAAATAATTTCAACTTCTTAAAATGCATACTTGACATAGATGAAAAGCATTCCTTGACATGCAACCAGTGAACAACAGTATAAACAAACAATTATGTAATTTAAACCAAAAATATACATACAACATTCACTGGCACAAAAAAATCGTTAAAACTATTATTTAAAAGTTCATAAATTAATTTGCAGTAGATCAGCAAAGTCTCAAAATACTCTCATAGTTTCCAAAAGCGTTACTAGATCACTTTCTTTTCAGGCTGTAGCATATTTCCTCGAAAAAGACCGTCTGAAGAGTCTCCTGGAGCCATTGGAAGCTGCAGCCGCGTTAATAGCAGCCGCTGCTCACGACATAAACCATCCTGGGAAGTCTTCAGCGTTCCTGTGCAACTCTAGAGATCCGCTTGCAATATTATACAATGATATCTGTGTTCTGGAGTCGCATCATGCTGCTTTGACATTTCACCTCACTCTCAGTAAGTTATTGTTAAAGTAGATGAAATAACGGTTCGAAGCTAATTTAATAATGTGCATAAGGACCACACTAATTACCTGTGGGTACCATTCAAAACACCCATCAGAACCAAATAACCAAACCAACTTAGTACCTAGAACTAAGAACCAATGCCCAGTCTCTTGATATAAGTACACATTTCATAATTTCAGTACACGTGGCGCACTGCGCGTCCAATACCACAATGCGTTCAGGATGCTATTACGACTTCCATCTTACTGTAGCGCATCAACCGTGTTTACTGAGAAACATGTTGACGATTTCTATGCTAGTGACATCTAGTGAGAGATTATTGAATAACCTGCTCAACACAGCCGATACTTTACAGGTATCACAACTGGCGCAGATGTCGCTTTTCAATGAAATGTCAGTTGTGATGCCTATAAAGGTATCAGCTGCGGTGAGACGATTTCTACGCTGTCATACAAAAGCATAGCGTGTCGCTATTCCGTCGCGTGCGTCTCAGTACGAACGACATCTTGAGCACATCGGCTGATAGATGGGAGTCCCGAATTGGGGTACTAGATGCGCTTGCTCACTGCTGCTAATGCGTAGCCATTTGCCCTATCATTGGCTGGGTACGGACAGCGGCACGCCAGACTACACATTTTTGTTCGAAAATCGCCTCCAGTGCGACGGAACAAGATACGTCAATGTGTAGCTTGATGTGCTGGCGTGTGTACGTTGTGCTCCCTTCAGATAAATATGAATGACTAACAATATTATGGATGTATATCTAAATAAACGGTTCATATTATTATTATAATGCTGTTAAAATTCAGATTCATCGTATTATCTTTTTAGATGACGATCGTTGCAACATATTCAAGAACCTCGACCGCGACACGTATAAGACTGTGAGGCATAACGTTATCGATATGATTCTCGCTACGGAAATGACCAAGCACTTTGAGCATCTTGCTAAATTCGTCAATGTCTTTTATGCCAAAACTTCAGGCAGTAAAGAAGATGGAATGCACACTGATGTGAGTACTAGTAATTGTACAGATGTGTTTAAGCTGTTCGCGGGTAAAATGAACAAAATCAACGTTCACAGCCGTAGCAACCTAATGATTTGACCTTATGATTCCGCCTATTAGGCAGAGTTTCTCTCAGAGCACCTCTGAGTTTCTCGGAACTTATGTGCGAAATTTAGTTTCAAATTTACCATTAGCTTTTCCGTAAAGGACTACGTCGTGCCTGCGCACATCTATAACAATTATGTATTACGTTATGTTATCTTATACTGTACTGTACTGTACTATACTATATTAATTGTGTGTGTTATGTTGCCAATCCGCATTGAGCCCGCGTGGGAACTACAGCCCAAAACTTGTGAGAGGCCTGTGCCTAGCAATGGAAATATACAGGGTGTAATCCAAAATGTTAACATTAAACACTCCCTACATTTAATATGACATTCGTAGAGAGACTTTAGTTTTCCTATTGTAAGAGGTAACAATAAGTTAACAAATAACAAAACTGCTATAAATAAAGTAATAAAACTATCTTTTGATTTAATAAAAATATAATGGCATAGTCAATTATTTGGTCAAGTGTGAGTTGTCCATGAAAATGAATAAAATTGATGAAATTATTTTAGTGCTGTTTGACTTATTTCATGTAAGGATCATTTCTGAGTAAAATCAAGACAGCAGAAGTGAGTCAATTTTAATAAAAAAAAAATTTCATACAAAATGAATACCAATCAACATCTGCTGTCGTGATTCTTTTCATCCAATGTAATAAGTCTTATAAGAACCTGAGTCTATCAGCACCAAAAAAAATTAGTCCATTTTATTCATTCATTCATTCATTGACCAAATAATTGACTATGCCAATAGATTTTTATTCAAATATAAGATAGTTTTATTACTTTATTTCTATCAGTTTTGTCATCTGTTAAATTTTTGTTACCTCTTACAATAGGGAAAGTACAGCCTCTCTACGAATGTCATATTAAATGTATGAGAGCGTTTAATGTTAAAATATTGAATATTTCTAGTTTCATTTTTTTAAACTTATTAATGTCTATTTATTCATTAGGAAACGTACTTTCAATACCAGTTCGAAGCTTTTAGATATTTCTTAAGTTTATGAAATAATCACATGGGCACACTTAACGTTACACCCTGTATATAGGCTAACTATTTATTATTATAAAGTTTGTATATATCCCATATGGGAAAATGCAGACTGTATTATTATGAGAAAGTTGCAAATGATACGTGACCCGTATCACATTAAACATCACCATGTTTTAACTTTCAAAGTTCAATTGCCAGAAAATTCAATGCCAGCCAAATAGTAACCGTCGCAAATAGAGCTTGTAATAAGCCTTTTAACACAGCGATCTTGAAGTGATCTTGAGTAAATTGAGTAAATTTGTAATAATTTTACGGCAGCTCTGACATTTATTCAAATACGCGCTTATTTTTCAGGAACCTCTATCCCTGGACACGACAGCTTTGAACCTACCAGAGAATGTAATTCTAGTGAAGCGAATGATGATCAAATGCGCTGACGTTTCTAACGCTTCCAGACCGCAAAAGTTTGCTTTCGAATGGGCTAGGAGGTAAACTACAACATTAAAGATACACTTTAAACACAATTTATAAAAGTAAAGATTTAAAAGTTATTTGCGTGGCTAAAATAGTCTAAATCAGGGTTTCTCAACCTGTGGTCCAAGGACCCCTGAGGGTTCCGTTTAATGAACTTCGGGGGCCCATGGCCAGCCTACCTAACATAATGCATTAATTTAAAAATTGGTACACAATGTGTTGTGTTGTGAGTACATAGATGCTGTTGTACCTTTTTAAATTTCCACGCCCTTTAACGGCTATCCATTTTATTGGAGCGAGCGAGATGCGCGTAAGTGCATTCGACGTTAATGCAACCCATGAGCCTTTCTTCTTCATCTTTTCGGAAAGAGTCCGTAAACTTTTTGAAATTTTGAGAGGGGTCCATGACTAAAAAATGGTGAAGAAGCCCTGGTCTGAATGGACTCCAGTACAATTGTACTGGTTGAAATTACAGAATTGGAAAATTATGATTGAAAAGGATAGCAAGGAATGCCAGATTTCGCAAGTAACTTTTAGTGAAATTCTGGGATCCACATTTAAATCAAAATGACCTGAGTGTATTCTTCTTCTTTTTATAATAACTAAGTGACGGGACGAACAAGTCGAGCGCCTGATGGTAAGCGACACGTATGTCCATAACAGTTGCAGTACCACTCAGAGCTTTAAATCACATAGATCTGAGTGTCACTGCTACTACGCCCGTCACCCTAAGACACAAGTTGACAAGTCCCATGTGCCTGTAGTTTCACCAGCACCCTTATTCTTCCAAACCGGAACGCAGTAATGCTCACACTACTGCTTGGCGGCAGAAATAGGTAATGTGGCAGTACTTCCCTGGACGAACTCTTTCACAAAGAGCTTTACTGCGACTACTACTTAACTACAATTTCCTGGAATGATCTAAAAACTTTTTACTGAAGTCGAATGATTGTGAATCTAAATTTCAAAATCCTTATAATTCCAGGATCGCCGACGAGTATTTCCTTCAAACAGACGAGGAGAAAGCCAAGGACTTGCCGGTGGTAATGCCGATGTTTGATCGCGCAACGTGCTCGATTCCCCGCTCGCAAATCGGTTTTATTGACTACATCATCATTGACATGATGGAGGCTTGGGCTGGTCAGTGCGACTCAATTTATTCGTGACTCACTATATAATATGCCAAATTGAATTTTGATTTTCAAAATATGGTTATTAGTAATGCTTTTAAATAATATGATCTTTGTACTTAAAGCCATTGTAATTTCCATTGTCCATTTCAGCAACATTCAATTGTATACAATTTAATGACTAATCAACTTTGATGGGAAAATTCATGATCTGTGATTTGTGGCACATACATAAGTTATAGTTAGAAGAGCCAAACAATTGGGTGTGTTATTGTTAGCCTGCTGATGCAACCCTTGACTGGTCAGGACTAGAAAAATCGAAAATAAACTTTAATTCCTAATTGTGGTACGCCGGCGGCCCACATGGCCTGCTAGATAAAATTCGAAAATACATAGTGGCCCGCTGCACTATGGCGGCACCATATGGCCTGCTGGGTAAAATACATGGTAGCCTGCTGCACTTGGGTTTTGTGGGCTGCCGGCGGCCCACATGGCTTACTAGTTACAATTCGAAGATATATAATGGCCTGATGCACTTGGTTTTTTGTGGGCGGCTGGCAGCCCACGTGGCTTGCTGGTTTACATTCGAAGATACGTACCTAGTGGCCTGCTGCAGTCGAATTTCTGTGTGCGGCCGGCAGCCCACATAGCGCTGAGAGTATGAAGTGTGTCACTGAATATCATATTCGCAAAATATCATGTTCGCAAAACATTAACCTTAGAACTAAGTCCAAACTCATGGTACAACTATGTCGTTTAACTAATGTAAACGGTTCTTTTATGGGGAACTTTATACGTTTTTACAATAAGATTCCGCAGCATATATTAAGATTATCATTTCCTAAGTTTAAGACATATATACAAAAGTATTGAAATTGAAAAGATACATACAAAAAAATTTAAGACTACCTAAGTGTTAGATAAAGATTATGTATGGAAAAACGACACACAAATTTGATTCAACATGTATTCCATAGCATTTAACTTTATTTGAAAAGAGCAATTCCAAAGGTTTCTTTCTCGTTCTTCTCAGCAAAGTCAGCACAATGAACGAGCAGTAGCTTAAAAAATTACATTTTCAAGTGTAAATTTATTTAACCTATGGAATAAATGATTATTTTTCACTTCGGTTTATGATTTATAAAGACATTAGGATTAACAAAAATCAATTCTCTTTCCAGCATTCATCGACATGCCAGAGCTAGTAAATCACGCACGAAACAACCACGCGCGCTGGCGGGAACTCGACGACGCTGGTGTCACTACCATCGCCGACGTGAATAGAGTGCAGCGCCAGCAGAACTCTATACAAGCCCCGCCAAGTAAGACCGAGCAGAGCACGAAAGAAGAGTGAACCCGCAACAAATAACAGAATTTTAAAGTATTCATGCGTGAACTGAATCGCAACAGGGACTATGAATGTGTGGAGATATTTGTAAGAAAAGACAGGAATCTTTTCGTCTTCTTATTAGCTTGGATGACAAATATTTTTTGGATGACAAGTATTGGGTTTAGCAACTAAAAGATGAATTAGGTAGGTGGTCCGCTTAAAGTACATAGGGGAACTCTTTAGCGCCAATATTTAGAACAGATAATGCAACTAAGAGCGGTTACACACGAAACGTTTAGCAGCGCGTCTGCAGCAATTCTGTCGCGATGCAGTAGCGATGCAATCGCGGTGCAAACGCGATGCAAAGCGATGCACGTTTATAAGGTGTCAACACGACATCGATGCAATCGTGCGTTTGTATCGCTGCTAAAAGTCACCGTGTGTAACCGATATAAGGGTTATCAAGTGTGACTTCCTACCAAAAGATAAAAAGGAAGAAGGTACAAGCTCAGAGAGAAAAAATTAGGTAAAGAGACAACTTTGCTTGAAATTTGAAAATCTACGACATTCTGGCTTACATTTGTACGGGTCAGAAGTCCCTGTACCTCTCTGAGTGAACCTAGAAAGGTTATATGTAAAAGAAAGTGGGTACATGAATGTAACGGGAAAATCTTTCCTGTATTTGGTATGTCAACGTTAAAGTCTGATACGGATCATTGCCTGACGGAGAAGTCCGGAAATACGCTTATTTTATACTTATATCCGTGTTAGTGTAGATATCACTAAAATTGTAGGTAATTGTTGATATCTACTTTTTTACGTAGTTTGTATTTATTAGCGAATATTGAATCCAAAAATACTTATTTACTATATTAAATGTGTCTACGGAATTTTCTTGGTGTTTTAACGTTTTTCGAAAAAGGCCCTATATATTTTTTAAGAACTTAGTTCGCAAAAATACCGTATTAATATCAAACAATACCGTAAATCATATTATATAGTCTCTCATATTTTAACTCATCATTCTATAAAAAGACGTTATGAAGTCTTGCAAAAGTATATTAGGATAGGAGAGGTTATGTTTTAAAAAACAATTAATGTTGAAATTTAAAATACTTAACAGGTTTTTGTTAAAACAATAAAAACCCAATTTCTTCTATGAAAAAAATAGTTGCCTTTTACACGGGTATAATTATATTAATTACATTTTGTTGTATAAATATGTTTATTATGATAAGTATAACAATGGTATCCGTGATTAAAGTGCCATATGATATGATTGGCAAAACCTTTGTTCAACCTTTTTGTACTGTAATCTTTTATAACCTAATTGCAATTAGACAGGACTATTGTGAACAATGATAGGACAATCAATGCAAAAAGATAACGTAAGATTGAGTTATCTTAAGTATGTGCAATTATGTATTTATACATATAACTAATAACAGTAACTACGTTGCGTTTCTTCACTAAACCATAATTATGCAATCTTTATCTATAACTAACGTAATCGACATTTTTAGCGAAATTGGGATTGTCACATATCTGGGATCAGTAAAACAAGATCTACAACTAATTGGTTCTTTCCTTCTGTAATTTAGTTTTTGTTTTATTGTTCAGGAAAATCTGCGTAATTTAATTTTTTTTTTTAGATAACAATGATACTTAGGTGCCAATATATCGCAAGTTACCGAAATAGAAATGCATTGGTTTGACCACTGACTTACAAATAAATGGACGACGGGTCTAATACAAAACCCACGAAAAAAATGTCCCAAGTCAACCTGTTTAAACGTAGTGACATGTAAAGGAATATGAAAAAGCTAAAACGTTGAATTTAAATTGTAATGTCATCGCAGTACTGTCTAATTTTGCTTGCTTCGCTGTCAGTCGAACAAACGAAGACTGACTCGTGACACGTGAATGACGCTCTGTATACGATTTTAACGCCCTATAAGTTCGGACACTTTTTAGCGCGGACCCGACGTCCTTATAATTGTAAGTCAATGGTTATGACAAATAGGGCAAAAATGCAGGTAGCAATCGGGTGTACATTTAGGCGACTCACGAAGATGAAAAGTGATCTCTTTGAAGATGTTTCCCTTTAGGCCATAGTTTCCCAAAGTGGTCCCTACCCCAATTGGCCCCCCAACGCTGAAGAGTCCTTAGGGGGCGGTAGGGGCCTCGGAAGCAATTGGGAGGCGTTGATGCTGTCCAGGAGATGCTACTTCATTTGAAAAAAATCATGAATTATCTATATAAACTACACTACATTTTTTTTCTTGTAATTTTTTGTGTTAAGTTAATATGAAAAATACGTGTTTTCATTTATTTTTTGTGGTGGTGAGCGTTGAAATTTCTTTCTTGCCTAAATGGGCGACGAGCCAAAAATTTGGGAACATATGCTTTAGGCCGAAGTTCGTAATTCTAAAAAAGTCTGTCTGGTTGCAGTTATGTTAACAACATCCCATGACACTGTTGTCCCATAACCTGATCACTTAGTCAAAATTATGACGAAATTTTGCCAAAGTTGTTCATCTTATTATTATATAATCAATATTGGTCCATGTACACTTGAGCTTCAGATAAGTCCTATTTTTATATTCAAATTTTTGTAGTGTACACCCAAGGCGGGGTAATAGCGGTGTCTCACTTTTAAAATCGACGTCATAGTTTGTTATATATTTAACGCGATAATATTTTAAGGTTAAACTTTCTTAGTAACATATTTTAATAAGTTTCCTATTTGAGGCGACCACAATCTCACCTGACGGTCTCACGTTGAGCTCTAGGATGGAACATGCATGCCTGCAAAGTGACTATTCACTTTTGCCTAGAAAAGGCCCAAGTTACATAATTTGTGCAAAAAGAGATCATCAGGTTAAGAATATACCTACGCATATAGGTATCGCATCAGGAGAGGCTTCGTGCAGATTCAGCCAGGGAGCGAGGATTTCCGAAAATCGAATAAATCTTATTCCAAGAATATGATAAGAAAGATGCGATGTAATGTGCGTCTTATTCTTGTAATGTGCGTCTTATTCTTGGTCTTATTTGATTTGGTGAAATCCACCCTCAGTTATACTGAATTAGTGTCGCAGCTAAAGGCAAGTGTGACAAAGCCCTGGGCCATCTAGGTGCTCTATTAAAGCAATTGCGTTAATGCTGTCTCGAGACAAAACATTTGGATACGTGCCAAATCATCAAAATTAAATAAAACGTCAAAATGATATCCATGATACCAGATATATATCATACCAGATTGTAACCAATACGGCCCGTTCACATGGCTATCCATTTCTGCAGGAACCTCTTACTGATTGATTCCTGCAAATCTGACTGGTGTCTCTACTGCATATCACTGAGCATTCTGTTTCTGTTTTTTTGCGGGACAGAGCGTGCAGACACAAAGTAGACGTATGCAACCTCATTTGGACAAAAAGCCGTAGATATATGTTATGAAACCGGATCGTGTTGTTTTTCTAGACAGGGGGTTCTAGCTTGCAGTTATAAAACTAAACTGTAATAATTGACCGATTTTTCGCAGGATGCTGCAAACATGGTGCCCGTGTATTCCGTTTTATTATTTTTTTTAGACAACCACAACAATTACAAGGGGGCAGTTCCCAGAACACCCAGACCAGAACCAATTTAGAAAAGCTCATTTCCCAAATTGGCCCTACCGGGAATAGAACCCGGAGCCTCCGCATCCAGCACTCACAACGTAAACCGTTAGGCCACCGAGGGCGTCATTACTATTGAAACGCGTTTGCCAATAACCAGCTTTCTGCAAAGAACAGGATGCCGCCCTGTGAACGGGCCGGCAGTTTTTCTTTTGATAATGTTACAACTTAATGACTATTGAAAGTGAGAACACCTTAAATAAAAACCTTGGAGTGAACCAACTCTTCGGCCTCGCTTGCCGTCATATCAATTTCAAAGTGATTTCAATTTTCAACTCTTTCTACTGACAATTACGTTTCATTCCTAAAAATAAGTATAAGAGTATATAAAAATATATTTAAAAAACTTTATAATTTAACAGTGTGTAGTAAATGTTACGTAATTTATAAATTTTGTGGTGGGTGTAAAAAAGGTGTCAAATTTCGTGACTTTGAGTATGATATTACATATCGTCGGAGATGATGCAATTCCGCGCATGTAGTATTGGTAAAAAGCGCGTATCTGCACCAAACTATTTTTGCACAATAAGCATTAATTTATGTTGTCTACGGACTGATAACAATAGATTCCCATAAATCACGCTAATTTGGTTGCCACGATATTTACGCGTATTTGATTTGGCGACTAAATTACCGAAACGGGGACTCATAATCAAATGCTAATTACGCGTAATTGCACTATCCCAGACGATTGCATTGTCCAAAAAAATGAATCGGACAAGTTCGGAAATTGGATACGGCTTTTTAGAGAAAGTTCTTCAGTATCATGGGCAGACTCACGCTTATGTTTTAGTCATACTTTTTTATACCCTTTTTAGGACACTTGAATATTTCATATAATTTATTAGTCTTAAAAAGGGGTCAACTACAATTCAGACGTAGATTGAAATTTATGGACGGTTCAAAATTATAACTTAACAAAGTTTATTGTATATCACGATATTTTGCTACTAAGATATTCAGTTATTTTTTGTGAAATTACTCTTCTAGTTTGTTATAATTATTAATACAAAGATCAAACACCAACAAAAATTCCTTCCGGCTGGATTTAAACCACGGAGAACGAAACCAGCGCACCTTACGAGTTTCTCGTTGTTGCAAATCTTTGGTTTTTTTTTTTACTGTGAGAAATTTATTATTTTAGTTTCTATTGGCTCCTGAGTTTTAATTGACCCCTTTTTACAATTGTATTGAATAAGGTCTAACATGTTTGTATTAATTAATAAATATAAAGTGTATTCGTCATAAGACGCTGGTATAACTTAAAATATAGTAGTGTAATTAATAAAAAATATAAAATAAAAACATAAAAATACGCTTCCTTGTGCTCAATGTCAATATATAACGGTCTAAACACTGTACCATTGTACTTCAAAATATTAATCTTTTTACTTAGGTATTTATACTTGTATACCCTTTTAAACATATTTGGAAGTATATTATAAAGTTTGAAGTAGTGACGGTGACGCATAATCATGTACAAAGTTCAAACATGTGGTTATTTACAAAAATGACTTTGAATTTTTCGACAACTATTTTGTGTCACCAGTGTATTCTGATCCACGGTGTTCAATCTCAATATTTTATATATCGTAGTGCCGTATTTTGCGCCTACTAACATACATAAAAAAATCTACTATATGTAAAAAAAATAGTTAATTGATTTTTTTGC